GGAACCTTAAAAAAAACAAACTACTAACTTTATAAAACCAAAACCTTAACCTCAAGTAGAGTAAAATGATGTTTAATATGCATAACGCCTAAGAAAAAAAAGTAATTTTGAGCAGTTATGCACAAATAAAACTTACTAATGAAATAATTTACATACTCTTAATATGAGCCATCTCTCATCTAATTCAACCCTCCATCCCCACGGTTCACTTAATGAAACTGAAGAGAGAATGACTTGCCTGCAACTTCGAAGATAATAAAAATAGTTTTTTGACCCACATCTTATGTATGTAATGATATATAAAAGGTTACAACTGTATATAAACCAGTAAATCTTTCTTGGGAAAGCTTTTAATGAAACTTTTCATTAGGGGATATAGATTGGAAAATTTTATTTCATAATATCAGATTTCCTAGGCAAATTATGTGTCGTGAATAATGCTTCGTGGATGTACTGTAAAGTGGTTGCTAACACTTCATTCTACAAACAAAAGTAAGATGAGAGAGCAACAATCCTTACTTCAAAGGTAATTATCAAAGAGAAAAGGTGGGAGAAGTTGTAGTTTTCAACAATAAAAGATAGTAATGGACACATTTATCTTCACAGAGTGGGAATGTGGGGAACCACTCAGAGTGCTTCCAAGCTCAGGTGTCGAAGCACACCTAAGGCCATGACCCAGCTTGTCTAGTGCAGGCATCCAGTGGAGTACAGCTATGTAACCATGACAGCATAGGTTAACATGCATGGCACTACACGAAAATGTAAATATGAGATAACCACCTATGTAAGAATTATACGATAAAGTCACAGGCCACTCTTGTGCTCTTATATTCTTGCACGCTGCTCTGCTCCATGCTGCCTGCTGTTGTTGCTGATGTCTTACACACATGCATTCTTTAACCTGGGGATCTTGCCCATGAAAATCTCCCTCTGAGCCGGCCAAAGCGGATTTTTAGTGTGCAATGTTATCTAAGCAGAATCTGTATCAATAAAATGCTATTTGCTTGGATGTTTGAAAACAGTTCCTTCTGCTAACAATAGGTAAAGATTTACACAATGAAGTTGGTGTTTCTCACTTCAAGGTTGAAACAGAAAAAATCTAGATTTTTTCTATCCTCAACCCAGGCTGATGTATGTCACAAAAAAGTAGCAGAAAATCTCCTGTGTGTACCCTCGAGGGCACTCATATCCTAGCCACAAAAAAAAAAAAAAAAAAGGAAAAAGTGAAGTGTATGCAACATATTTTTTGTGATCTAATGAAAATTTCCATAATCACATTTTATACAGCAAAAGTAGAAAACATAATAATGTTAATAGTATCATTAACTGAAAGTTAATGATTTACCTACCTTTGTATCTTAACTGTGTGTCCCTAACTATATTAAATACTATTCTGAATGCTATAATGTATTAACTCAGAGCCATTATAAGCACCAAGGACAGGGTACTGGTATGACAATTACTGTTATTGCAAGTTTTTAATAAACATTACAATATTATTGAAAACCCCAATTAGCCTTTCATTTCAACTGTACAAGTGGGTCACTTAAGCAAGCCATGCTTCAAAGCAGTTAAGTGGCCTGCCTAAGTGGTCTCAATACATAGCAGGGAGGCACCAACAGGCCTATGCCACTTCTTAACTGCCCTACATGCGCGTGCATTTGCCAAGCTGGAGAAACAGTACTTCATTCATTAGATCTCCATAATCTTCCCTTTACCCTTCATGTCACACTTTTCCACATTAGGAAGTAAACCTGTCTGGATGCTAAGTTCTTATTAAAAGCAATCAACAAACCTACATATAGAGAGCAATAATCCTCAGATTTACAAACCCATGGCTGGGGAATCTTGTTAAAATGCTGACTGTGATTCTGAAGTCTGGGGTGGGATCTGCAGTCCTGCCAGGATTTCAGAAAATGCTAATGCTTTTAGTTCACAAACTGCACTTTGCACAGAAAATCTGTAGAGCATATCCCACCATGCCTCATCCCCTACTCTCACATTGCTATAGTTCATTTTGTTAGTATTTATTTATTTTACATTTAAAGACAAGGGATTCACTATGCTGGCCAAGCTGGCCTACAACTCTTGGGCCTACCTCAGTCTCCCAAATAGCTACAACTAACGGAGTGTGTCTGTGTGCCTTCCTAATTCATTCTGAATGAAGAAAAAAGAATTATAGCTCTCAGGGCAATAGAGAAGGGCTGATTTCCTTATTTTTCCTCTAATGTATTATGACGTGAAACTTTGGAATAAAAGAATATCCACTTTTACAACCACTCTCTCTCCCTGTGTGTCTAAGTCTCCCTTCCCTTCTCCTAAGAACACTAGCTATTTTGGATTAAAGACTACCTACTCCAATATAACCTCATGTGAACTAATCCCATCTGCCATGACTTTTCTAGTTAAGGTCTACTATTTGGGACATCAACCAAAGTTTTGGGGGAAGAAGTGAAACAAATCAACTCATAACACCTTCGCTTTTTGGAAATTTCATGTCTATTAAAACAAAAGCATAGTTTGATATTTTTTATTTGAATTATATTTTTAATGTATTTTAAGACTTCAAAAGGTAGTAAATCTACCAATCATAAATGTACACAGACAACAATGAAGCTTAACTTATATTCATTCTCTGGCTTTCCTGTAACTCAGAGTCCACCTTTCAAACCACTACTCCACTCATTAATGTTCTCTCATTTTCATGTTCAAGAAAAACAACATTATTTCCTTTTTTCTTTAGCACATAATCACCACCACTGACACAGGTCCCCACCCCAACTTATTTTAATTGCAGAGATATCACAAGCTCCATTACTAGTTTAATTTTTCTCTTAAATGTCAGTGTGGTATATAACTGAGGTCAAAATAACACCCATATATAAAGAGTAAAAAACAAAACAACAACTCCGCAATTTCAGAGTTTCGATCTTTGGACCAGCATTTGTTTGCTAATCTGAGGTTGAGAAAAACTTCTCCTGCATAGGCCCCTTTACTGTTCTTGAGACAGTTACTCCATCAAGAGCTATCAATTCACTTCACTCATTTTGCACTGAACCTTGCAGTGGCCTCCTTACCCTAAGAACTGTGCTGAAAAAAGCAGCTGGTAGTAAGTATAAGTGGTGGCTATTTTCTAAATGCTTTCCAGAAATGTTTTTGTTATAAAATATTTGCGCACTAAGTCACAAGTACAACAGACTTACATGTGTAAAACTAGAAAAAACTACAGAAAAAACAATACTGACATTAATTCTAAATGACGACTCAAATCATTAAGGGGAAGAAAGACTAACACTTATTAAGGCACTATTAGGAACAAAATCAAGTTGTTTGATAGGGAATTTGTATCATTTAATTCAATCATTTATATCTCTGGGTTAGGACCTGTAATTCAGTTTTTAATCACACACAGGATGAGAGGTTTAGTGAAGTATGTGCCTAACATTTCACATTCAGCAAACTGCTCTTTCAAAATCACCTTCCTAGTCCCCACCTTCCTAGTTTGAGTTCCCTTATTTATTCCCTTTCAAATACAAAATACAGGAGTAGTCAGGGAAGTAAAATGAGCTTTGGAACACATACTTTAAATATTTCTTAAAAGGTATGTGTGGTTTTAACAAATAACATGATTGTACTGATGTTTACATTTTTATGTTCACTTACTGCTTCCCAGTTTATATTACAACGAAGGATTGTTACAATTTGCATCTAGATGTCCTCCCAAACCCCACTCGCACACTTAAGTAGGCTTCTTGGAAGATGGCTGAATCAAGGGTGTCTGATACTGGCTTACGGTATGATAACTGGGTTCACTGGTAGCTGTGCATAAGGGACTTACTGAAATGGAAAGCCCTACTTGGGTGCAGGTGGCAACAACCAATAGGTTTATAACCTGAATGGAATAAACAACAAAAGAAAAGTGTACTGGTAGCTGCTTCTTGTATGCCATATGTCACAGAATCTTCTCTCCTCTTCTTTGCTGTCTCGCCTTGAAGCAGCTATCAACTGAAACCTCTACAAATTGTAAACTAAACTCTTCTTGCATCAATTTGTGGCTCTCAGGTATTTTGACCCAGAAACAAGAAAGTAAGACAAGAGCAGCAAAATATGCTAGCCCCCAAATATGCCACTTCGGTATAATTGAATCGGAGCTTAAAATACTTGAAAAACTGCCTCACATTTCTTTAAACCACCATCTTTTTTCACAGTAGGATAGAAAATTTTCACGGAAAATACCCTACCTAAACCAAAAAAAAAAAAAAAAAGAAACATTCTTATCTCCAGAGAAAAGAAACATTCTTATCTTCAGATAAAAGAAGCCAAGAGAATTATGCACAGACCTTGTAGAAACTGCATCCCTCTATACTGTGTTGCGGTTATTTTCCCAGAATTATCTCTGTTCGGTCCACTACAAAAGCACTTAGGTTTTACCACTTAGCGCCATTTCCTTCTAAGGGCGCCCGCATCTCGTCGCATAAAACACCCTAAATAGATGTGCTTGCTCTTCTCCCTTGAATTCTCTGGCCTGACAAGGATCCTCAATTCTGTCCAGCTTTTTCTACACTCCTTTCCAACCCTTGGGCATGGAATGGGGCGAGGGAGGCACAAAAGGAAATGGTTTAGAAATGGCGCTTTCAGGCTGCTGTTGCTGGGTCTTAATCCAAGGATCGAGGAGCACCTCCAGGCAGTGCAAGCACACGAAAACGCGCGCCCGCCGCAAAAGACGCAGGCATAGGCAGCCCGTGCGACACGCGACCCAGTTGAGGAGCGAGGAGCCCGGCCTTGGGCGCACACCGCAGCCGCCAGACTGCGAGAGCCCCGCGCGTTTGCGTGAACCGAAGACCCAGGGGTGCAGGTGCGCTCTGGCCCGCGGAGCCGCGTCCCGCCCCCATGGCCCGCAAGCGCCGAGCGTTGGTGACGTCACGCGCCAGGCGGGACGGGCGAGACCATCTTCCACACCCCCTCCTGCTTTGACTAGGCCCAACCTGGCCGCCACTCACCTTCCCGTCTGAGTGGAAAGGGAGGCCAAGCTCGTCGGCGACAGACGGGAGCCGGGCGCTGCTTGTCTCCTCGGCCGCTCCGGCCGCAAGCCCCGCGGCGCCGGCGGCATCGTAATCCGGGAAGGGGTTGACAAACGCCCGCTCCTCCATGTCTGCGTCCCCGCCCAAGTGCAGCCTCAGCCTCTTGGACATGGTCTCGCCCATGTCCGCGCGCTCCCACACCGGGCGATACAGCGCGCAGAAGGGGACAAACTTCCTCAGGCGTTTCGCGTTGCAGCCGGGCGTCGCTCGGTCCCCGCTGGCAGCTTCTCCCTAGGTTCCTCAGGGCGCCTGGGGCTGAAGGCCTGCGGGGCAGGAGCGGCCTCCGCGCGGGGCCGATTTTCCGGCGGGCGGCAGGCACATCAGAGCGCAGCTGTTTCGGGCCCGGCGGAGTCGGTGCCCTAGGTAGCACGGAGCCGTACCGGGACTTGCGGAGTCGGCCGCGGCCACGCGCGAAGCGGGCCGAGCCGCCCCGGGGTGCACGCCCGGTGCCGCGCCCGGGACCTGCGGGCGAGCTGCGGTCACTCGCGGTCGCCGTCACCTGCGGGCGCTGTGGCTCGCAGGCGCCGTCCCTCGCGGGGCGTGCGCCTCCCGGCGATCTGCACCGCGCCGCCCGCCTCGCCGCCCCCCTCGCCGCCCGGGCCTCGGCTGCTGGTCGCGCGCCAGCCTGGGAATGGCCGCAGCGCGGATATTCAAAAAAGAAAAGTCTCTTCTGAAGACAAGAATTGAACAGCGCAGGGATGGTCTACTGGAGAGGAGGACTCAGCCCCTCCTCTGCATCACAGTCAGGAGGGGGATCTCAGAGGAGGAGCCACAGACCTTAAATATATTTTTTCCAGTACCTTCGTTTTGCATAAATGAGGATCATTTGACGACAAGGGATTGCATGAAGCCGTGATCATCTAAATATTTTATTGACGAGAAAGATCCCTCTGTATTGATTTGATTGGCCAGAGGCATAACAAGTATCAGGAAAAACATGACCAAATAGATCTTTGCATTTATATAATCACAATATATTTACTTCATGGATTGATGAATTTTCTTAACCGTTGGTGCTGTTTATTTAGAACCAAAGTGCTATTATGATTTCTCCTCAAGGGAATGTCTTTTTTGTTGTTTGGTTTTGGCTTTGGTTTTTAGGCAGGGTCTTGCTTTGTAGTTCAGACTTGCCCTGAACTCTCTTATGTATTCTAGGCTGGCCTTAAGCTCACAGCAGTCCTCCGCCTCAGCCTCTGGAGTGCCACAATTACAGATGTACCAACAGGATGGGCTTATTTCTGTTTTCTTCCATTTAACAGGCATTAGTGCTGGATGATCAGGAAGTAGATTAAAAAGTTTGTGCTTCCAGTGATTCAGTCAGTTGCCAAGAAAGGCAAGAATTACAGCACAATGTGTGTAGTTTTCTAAAATCAAGTCACATTAACGTAAAAAGTGACTGATGGGGAAGAGTGTCATACCAAACTCTGGATCAGGATAGTCGCTGCCTTTGGCCTCGGAAGGGATGGGGTGGAGGAGGCCTGGCTTCTGCTTCTGTCCGGTCTTGCTGACCGACTGGCCCACCAAGGTTGTAGGTGTGAGATCCCTACTAGGAGTGCCAGGGGGGGAGCCTATGGTGTGGCAGACAACAGCTCCACAGGAGTGCTCAGCAAAGCCACCCTTCCTTCAGTGATACACAGCTGAGGTGACAGGGTGGGTGTCACTGCAGCAGCTCTTGGTATGGGTGGAAGAAGTTTCTCATTGCTCTCAGTTCTCATGCATCCAATAGAAGAAATCTGCCTACTAATGGCTGCCATCTCAGAGCTGTACTTGTCCCACTTCAGGGACTTTACTGCTCAGAATATCTCAGGAACTGAACCTTGGAGTCTGGAGACAGGGTGTGGCTGCATAGCTGTCTTCAAGCCAGTGCTGGGTCTGAGGCGGCTCCCCTGCAGCATGCTCCTCAGATGGGTTCAATAGTGGCACAAATAGGAGAGATATCCAGATTCTGACATGTAGGAAACTGGAGTTACAGGAGTCTTTTATGCACAGGTTCTGCTGTTTCAAAGGCCTGCAGCTTGGAGCAAGCCCAGCATTACCCTGTGTGTGAGGAGTCTGTCTTCTCTTTACCTTGCAATAACTGGGTACAGCCCTCTGGCCCAGGAGCACAGCCTCCTTTGTGCACAGTAGGGTAACTGCATATGAGCATGACTTAAAACAATATAAAATCCAGTGCATATTTTTACATTTGATACTTTCCTGCTGTCTTGGCACCCCAGGAGCAGGTTGTGACCCCCTCGGGAGGCCAACAGGATATACCAGTGAGTAGGCTGGTGCCCAATACAATTTTTCTATTGCTCTTCCCCAACTGTGACCTCATTCCAAAAATTCTTGGCTTCAGACTTTGGTGAGGAGCCTGAACCTTTCCCTAGGTCCATCTGTACACTTCCTTAAAAGCCAGGTTCAACAATGTCTGTTTAACAAGAACCCCACAGCTCTCAATGTCTGATTACGTTTGGTATCAGATGGGGTTCTCATATCCTCCACAGCAGGTGATACTGGATTGCCTGAGTTCATCTTTAACAAGAACCTTATTAGTCTGTTAAGTCAGAATCTTCTGTCTTTGATGTTTTCTATCAGTAATTTTCCATCCACTGACCACACTTTGTTCTTGGCTATGCATTCCTCCTTGCTGTATTCAGAGTTCAGTCTAATCTCTCCTCCAGAGCAGACCCTCATTGCGATGGTCCCTAACCCTGTGGACATGATCCTGAATGAATTCTGCCTTATTATGCTGTAGCAGGTGTCCCTAAGTAACTTTTTTTTTTAGCATTAGTGAATTCAGACACATCATGTACCTTTTGCCCCTGTCTTCACCCTGACTCCAGCAACAGCACTCCCTGCCAATCCTGCTTGCTCTGGTCCCTCCTGCCTGGTTGTGCCTACGCCTTGGCTCTCCCTGTGTGACCTCCTTCCCATGGCTGCCTTGACTGTCTTAGGTCCGTTTTACTTTCCTGTACCTCTTTGTTGGACATACCCAGGGCTATCTCATGAAAGAATAAAAAACAAGGTTTTTGACCCCCAGTTCAACCATGGACCATCCCCAGGAAAGAGCTGCATCAATAACTGCAGCACCAGGAATCTGGTGCCGCTCAGTCATGATTGTGCCTGGCGGGGCCGCAGAGTCAGTGTGGTGCCTTGCAAGGTGGAGACAGTATCTGGGAGCAGATTGCTCATGAGCATTGGCGAAAAATCATGAGGGCACTCACAGATATTTGTGCAAGGGAGTGGTTTTAAGGTAATGAACCAGTGAATAAAGAGCTCCTGCTCCATGTGGCCATTATTCAGAGGCCAGTGGATCTGTCTCACCTGTAGAGAGCACAGGCGCAGAGATGAGATCTTTCCCATAATAGTATGGTGTTTTTCCATAACAGGTGACTGGCACTGCTATTATCCAGCTAGTGATTTCCATACCTCTTCTTCATGCAAAGAAATAAGCCTCTTATGATGCAGGTAAGGGTTGGTTTGGGAAAGCGCCTTCATTTAGAAAGAAGTTGGCTAACTGGGCCACTGCCTGACCTCCCTCTCTTCCATGTGTTTGTCTCTCTCATAAGGTGTTAGGCTTCCTGTAAGGCATAAGGTATTATTCTTTTACTGAGACTATAGGTCAGTAAGGGTGAACCTTTTAGAGACAAAATGTCAAACTGCAACCTAAAATCTGTTTATCACAAAGTGCCAACACTGAAATTAAACTTGAACATTGAAGTTTTAGTTGAGAAAAAATAACTCATCTTTTGCCTTAAATGAAAAACATATTAATATGCATGCCATAGGTTTGACACCACTGTCAAAGGCAAAGCCACTATCTATGAATTGGTGGGATTTCCTCTCAAGTAAGTGAGTGTTTTTCTTGCTAGTCTTCCTGCTGAGGAATATAGACAGGAATGAAAACGGCCTCTTAGTGCCCCATGCTTTTGATTCAGATACAGAGGAACTCTTGTATTTCAGGTGGTTGGAAGAGGCAAAGTCAGAGCTAAGCTTGCAAGAGAGCACGTGTCCCCTCAAAGTCTTACACTCTAGGGTGGGGCCTGGTCAGAAAGGCCAGTCACCAGGGTGTGATTTGGAAAGTGTATCCTCCCTTCCCTCTCTGCTTCCTCTCCTCCATACTATAAGCAGCCTTTCTTTGCCGTGCCATTTCTGCTTCTTTATTGGAGACATTCAACCATGGATAAACCCACTAAACCATGAGCCAAAGCAAACCACTACTTCTTTAAGTTATGAGTATTGGGTATTTTCTCCCAGTGATAGGAAAGTGACTGATAGTTAAGGCAATCCCACTGTGCCTTTTAACTACACTATGTGTGTACATATCATCTTGATCCATTTCCTTTTTTGTTTTGAGCTTTTAGGAAGTCCTGGTGTAATAGTATTAGACTGCTTCTGCTGCATCTCAGCAATTGGGCCCATCTGGGGTCATAGCATCAAAGAGAAGGAAATCAATCCATGCCAAGTCTGTAGTCAGCATTGTGTGGCTGTGGTTGTTCGTGATAGCACCTTTCAAAAGAGCAAATCTAGGGGAATGGTAGTGAAGATCCTCTCCCCCTACCCATGAAGTGATTCTGCACCTATTCCACATTTGGAGAATTTTTCCTGATCAAAGGGTAGTGTGAGTCCCCTTGAAGTACCCAACTAAGTAATGGTGCCACTGTGGTAGGAGCAGAAGGCTATAACAGATGGGGGATTACACATGTGGGTATATAAGCAAGAAAAAATGAAAACAGGCCAACAAAACTCTTGTATATGAATGCTCATAATAGTGTTGTTCACAGTGGCTAAAAATGATCAGCAACACACATATTCTTCACCTGATGACTAGGAAAATCAAATGCCATATATTTATACAGAGGAAGAGTATTCAGCAGGAAAAGAGCAAAATATTGTTACATGCTACAACATAGATGAATGTTAAAGATGTGCTAGTGAAAAGAAACCAATCACAGAAGAACAAATAATTCTCAATTGACGGAGACCACTACAAAGTGGCTCTTAGCAGGATTTAAAATTAACTAATTGGTTTTCTATGTTTATCTGCGAGTCTGTTGTAGGCCTAGGCTCCTTGGCTGCAGATAGGCAGTGGATTCATAGTAAGTGAACCTCTATGAATTACTGGTCCTAGCTGAGCCCTGCAGTGGCCTGTGATGCCAGAGTTGCCTTAAAGGGCAAAGTAAAGCTGCAGCTGACAGCTTCTGGCTCCAACACCAATTAAGCAGGTAGAGACTGCAGCTGCAGGCATCTCACTCTTGCAATCTCTTTCCCACGGTAAGTGTCATTAAAGAAATAAGACAACTCTCCTAAATTGGCATAATTTACTACTTGGAGAAGTCTTTAAAGTGACTCCCAAGTTCCTGCTCAGTTCCCATGCTTTCCTCAGTATCACCTCTGTTTGAAAACTTAGTAAATATGGGTCACCCAGAGAAGCTCTTTGTCTCAGCCCCCAGAGTCTTGAACTCTGCTAGAGGGTTTTGATTCTCCTAGAGCCCTAAAATCATACTCCTTATCTTATTTATTTAAACATTTGCTGTACACTTACTTGGGAGATTGGGGATTTTGGCCAGGTCCCTGATACTTGATGCCATTCACATGGAATATCCAGGCCAGGAAATCTGTACTGGTAAGAAAGCATGATAGTGGTTTCCAGGGGTTTTGATGGGTAGAGATGGGCCCATGCCTACCTAGTGGGTCCAGGGCTTCCTTTGTGGGTGATGAAAATATTCTGGGACTAAACAGTGACAATGGTAGCATCATACTATCAGTGGAATTAATGTCCCTTAACTTGTAAAATTTAGAGTATTTAAAGTGGTGAAATTTATGTCATTTATTTTAACACACAAAAGAG